GCCCCATTGCCACTCACCCCAAAACCAAACCTCCCTCGACCAGCGCTGGTCTGTGTGGAGATTATGTAAGCCCGCCTCTATAAATAGTGGCGTTCGGGATCTTTTGTCTTTACCTGCTCGCTCTTAGCCCAACAGTTTTATTTCTGGAGAGCTTGTGGAAGCAGTGCCATGCAGAGCGCCTGTTACCATAGTTACTTATGTTAGCGAGAAAAGAGAGAGAGAGACCACAATCTTATTTGGTTTCCTCATAGCAGCAGTGCAATCTGTTTCAATAGACTCATTCCTTTTCAGTCTGTAGCTGTCCCTCAGAAAAGGTGAATTCTTTTACAGGCTTTTATTGAATCACCTTGATAGGGTCAGTCTTTATGAAGTCTACCTCCTGAAGAAATACGCATTGCTAGCTGCTCGAATTACACAGTAGGAAGAGGACTGCCATGCAAGTGCACAATGAGTTTGTTGATTTCTCCAAATGGTTCAGATAGCAGCTGGGGAGTTGAGGAAAAAGTTATGGCCCTCGTCCCTGGTAACAAGGAAGAGTGCTACAACATTGAGCGCCCTGCTGAGTAACAAGAAGTGAGCCCTGTCGCCGTGGTGCTAAGTTAATTTAAACTCATTTATCATGATTAGATAACTCCAGGTAGCTGGAGGAGAGCCAGATTGGCTTGCTGGTATGCTCTGTAGCTGTGGCTCAGAGTAGAGAAGAGGTTGCTGGGAATGTGGGGGTGTCAGGCAGAGCGGGCGGGGAACTGCTGGAACCCTCTGCAGTCACGATCAGGAAGAAAGCCTAAGCTCCGGCCCCTCCCAGCCTGAAAGGCGAGGATGGTTGTCCGGGGACAGGAGTGGGCGAGCACAAGGGTGTATTTCTGGAACTGCAAGGGAAACCTGCAGCTTGCTGAGTGGGGTTTCGGTTCTGCAATCGGGCTTCCCTAACCCCACTTCCACACTCCGTAGACGGAGGAGAGCAATAAGTCGCCGGTTCAAAAGATCCGTGCTTTCTGAAAGGGGCTCAAGCGCTGGAGCGTGGTCATGCATGGGATTGTGATTGAAAGGGAAAAGAAAGCAAAATTATTTGGCAGCGTGATGCAAGCTTGCATCGAGTCGTGTTTCCGGTCGTGGAAGCTCTGATGTTAGCTCTCCCAATCCCTTTTTTCAGTTTCTCATTGTTGCTAGGGTTTGAGGAAGATGAGCCTTCATCCGGTGCCATTGGGGGTTTGTAATATGGGACATACTTCAGAAATGTGATGTGGAGGGCGTATGATTCCTCTGCCTCTTGAAAATCCACCAGACATTCTTGAATGTACTCCAAAGCCTTTCTTTTCAGTACGTTGTCATGCATGTCAAGCCCATAAGCTTGAGCCTAAGCTTTTTGCAATAGTAAATAAGTTATTTTATCATAATATTTTACACAAATCTTTGTTGCTCCTTTTTAGTGCTCTGATTTTGTACTGTTAGATGCAATATTTTCCAACTTTCTCTTTGCAGTGCTGCTTCTTCCTTCAGCTCAATCATTGCCTTGGGAATTAGTCAAATTATGTGTGGATACGATTATACCATTTGATAATGGTGTTGTTTAGCGTTCTACAAAATGCTGCTATGAACAGATGGATCACGAGCTTGAAAAAAAAAATGAGTGAAGACATTGTAGAGACAATATTCATTTCATTTTCACATGCACTGCACTGGCAGGAGCTTATACTGACAAACCAATATTATCTATAGACATCTATTTTGCCATTCGATTTTATTCAAACACTGAATGGGCTTGAAATATCTGATGTTGCAGTTCGAGCTCAGATCATCCGACGTTTCCTTTCAAACAAACTTTTAAGAAAATACCGACAGATCGATGGTCTCATTACACTTTTACCTTCATTGCATTTCTTTGGTATAATAATCTTGGTAAGTGCAGGAATTACATAAATCCATTACTGAGCTCCGTGGCATTTTGCAGAGGCGAGAGGTGAGCGCTACTCGGCAGTTATCACAACAGCGTCTCAGTGTTATGAACTCTTTAAGAGGAGAGCTTTTTAGTAGGTTTAGGTCAACTGGAAGAGACCACTGGAGAGGGGGATATTAGGGGCTCGAATAGGGGAAAGTAGCGTGATGCGAACAGTTACTTCCAGAAAATGTCAAACTCGTTGTTAAGTGTGATTTTGTATCATCATAATAAGAGGAATATTTCATGCACCACCAAAGCCAGTTCCATCATGCAAACGGCCGCTTCTTTGTCATCATGCTTGTGTATTTATGGAAACCTCGCCTAAATGGGTTACATGGCCAATCTATTTACTCAGGGCTGTTCCAAAATAAATGAAAAATACTGCAACTGCCAGAATTTTCAACTGTTGTATGCACATGCTGTTCAATAAAAAATAAGCCATAAAATAAAAAAAATTTAAATAAAAAATACATAAATAGATTTGATGTACAAAGGATACTTGAGTAGGCATGTGCTAAATAAGTGCCTCGCTTTTTTCAGCCCACTGCTCAACATATTCTTCCTCGTCTCTTTTTGTCCTCCACTGGTGCTCCAGTGGCCTATGCAAAGTAATATTGCACAAGAGTAGCAGTCACAGCTATTACTGTACAGTTGGATGGGGCAAACCACAGTTCTCAAGTGATTTTAAAGGCACCTCAAATTCTCATAAAGTTTCCACCTACATATTACAGGACAAGTGGACATCATTGTCCGCCATGGTTCTTTAACAGAGGTTTTGCAAACCATGCCATAAAGTACTGCTTAAGCTGGTAGCTGTTATTTGGAACATGATAGCTCTGATCATTAGCTGCTCCAAGCTGGTAGACCATCTTGAACCACAGTTCAAGCTGTTTTTTGAGCATGGTGGCTGGTCAGCCAGCTACTATGTTCCAAGACAGTTTCCAGATTAAACTGGATTTTGCAACAGGGAATTAGTTGTAGAGAGTAAAGCCACCAGTGTAGGAGTTTCCATGTGCTACTGTTGTAATTTTTAGAACATTTGGCTAAGAAGCTGCAAAACATAACTTTAATTTTATTAATCTAAAATCTAGGCTACTTTTTTGTTCTTATGAAATGCCTTCTTAGAAAATCTGTTTTTAGATATTGTTCAATAACTTTCAATATTCCCATAATTTCTTGTTGAAGAGGCAAAATCCTAGAAATTGGCCTAGATTTGACAACAGTACATGGGTAATTTAAACATTAAACAACATTAATGTACTTTTTTATTTTTTTTAAAGAATTTATTCATTAAAAAAAGAATTTGTTTTCATAACAAATTGTCAAGTGAAGTAAACCACCTAACACTTTGAATACATCCAAATGTGTGTATAGACACACACAAGATACAAATTTTTTTGAGTAAATAATAATACATTTAAGCTTATAGAGCTGTTCCTTAAAAAGTTCAAAATCTCATTCTATTTTCTCTTGTAAAATGTAGTGACCTTCACACAGCCATACCAAGCATTATAAAATTGTGACTGCTCTTAAAAAATAATAATAATAAGGCCAGCTTATGCACTTATTGCTTTGTTGTTGATGACACTTTTGTTTACAGTTTTCTACAATTAAACAACCTAGGCATTTTAATAGTAACCTACAAAAAAAATTGAAAAAGGAATTTTCATTCAGAAATTGAAAACATGATCATGAAGAGGTCTCTAAGTAGTCTATATTTGAATGAATTGCGTTCGTTTAATGTATCGTTACAAAAAAAAAGGCGAAGGAGAAAGGAAACCGTTATCAGTTCGACTGTTATATTAGACCGACAGCAAGAATGTCAGCGTTATAGCATTGTACACAGGCTGCAGGCCGTGAACTATAATTGTAGAATAGAGCAGCCTGCTATTTCAAGTGGCGCTCTCCATGGTGCTGGACAACAGAGCACTTTTAACGCCAGCTCTGCGCGACAGGATGGCAGAGCGTCTCAACAATCTACTTGTATGAGGAAAATATTCACATTTGTCTCAGGGCCGTTTTACTTAAGGTTGTATATTATAATTAGTTCTGTATTCTATTTTATGATGTTTTATGAAGTGTGTTTTATCTGTATCGAAGTATGTCTAGTCTACAATCAATCGCGCTTATGTTCTGGAAAATGTGAATTTTAGGATTGCAATGACTTTACAGCCTAGTCAAGGTAATGACAAAACATTAATAAGGTGATCATTTAATTTACGCTAAAAAAAAACGAGGGGAATATGAATGAGAATTGCTTTCCAAGCTTTATGCTGCATATCGTTGCGTACTGCAATGCCCTTTTACCTCATAACTCATTTGCATGTCCTAACAAACTGAATGTCAAGACAAATATGTCTACGTTCACAGGCAGCTAATTTTCAGATATGTTTTGTCGCTATAAACAACAGCATGTCGTGAAGGTTTGTGATGTTTGTTAAACACCTAGAAGTAAATTAAGTTTTACAAGACGTTCATAAAACGAAATGAAAGGAAACGGACTGAATTCGATGTCGATTTTTTTAGAGGTTGATTTTGACAGAGACTGAAAATGAAAAGGGGCTTTTTATGAAACACTTTCTGTTTGTTTTCGTCAGGAACGCCTTCAGATGTCTACGAAAACGCAGTCGAATGCATAGTGCTTTCATTTGAATTAGCTAAGAAACATCCATAGCTTAAGTCTGGCTCTCCGTCGTTCCCGTACACTTAACGACAGCCTTGTTGAAGCGTCAGAACCGTAATTCTCCTTTTTTGGGGAATCCCGTCATATCCTCTGTCCATATATGGTCACGAAGATGACACGCGGCGGGGAATCCTCTCACTGGAGACAATGAATGGGGAGGAGGGCTGATCGGTGAGACGGAGTGTATAAAAGCCAAGCGAAGGGAAGCCGTTGGTGTGAGAATCAACAGATCTACACATCTACAGACAGCTGGAGAGCTATATTACCTCGACGCAGATCTCAAAAAGAGGGAATTCCAAAGTATTTACATTTCTTTTTTGGACGAACGCCTTCACGGACTTAACTGTCGGATCGGTTTTTGCTCTTTCTTGTGTTTGCAATACCCCCTTATCAATAACCTGCTCGGACTGACAGCCATTGGAAAGCCATTCACGGAAAGATGCTTAACAACATGGATTTGAACTCTCAAGATTCTTTCTACTCTCAGTTTGAAAACTGTGACAGTTCTGCGATAGGGATGGAAACTCACGGCTCCAAAGACAGCCAGAATGTTTTCATGGATTCTGGAAGAACAGCATCTGCCCAGTTTGCACACGGTGAGTTTCTGACAGATCTTTACACATCTTAGCTCTGTTTATTAAAGACCAGATATCAGTACTGCTGCATGAAAAATAATACAATGCAAGTTAATTCAAGCCACTCACGAAACGATATCGTTATATAACTGATTGCACATTTCACTGAAGGCACTGACGCATGCCTGTCTTTTTTTTTCACCACGTCAGGTGCGCCTATTACCCCCAAAACGGAGCCCACGAGTATAGATCAGTATAACTCTTGTCAGGGTCCGAAGGAAAGCTACACAACCTCCTTAGCTTACTCGGGCAGCTTCTACGTGGAAACAGCTCAAGGAACACCTTGCAGCACGGAAACACTGCTCAACATGATCACCGAAATCGTTGGCATCTCAACTACCCCTGTCTCGGATGCGCATCAGTGTGCAGACGGTACGATGAACGCAAGCCGTAGCAGTTTCGGCGACGAGGGCGTCCAGACTCCGGCCTCCACGTGCACCACCCCGCAGCTGTATTCCCCGGGACAGGCAGGCCACAGCTACTCGGACTCCCAGACCGCCGCGCAGGCCCAACACCCCGCTGCATCGCATTTAAACTTTGCCTCCTCTGCTCAAGACGCGGAGCCGCTGTCTGAGAGCGCGACGTTCCCGGTGGTCATCAAAAATGAATTCGAGAGCAGCTGTTACGAGTGGGGGGCCTTCAATAAGTCGTACTTGGATGCTGGCTTCCAGTCAGAGCCGTTCTCCATGTCGAATAGTTTTCAAACTGATCAACAACAGGTGGACGTGAAAGAACTTTTGGACTCTTATTCTCCCATTTGTTCAAACCCAGAGACTGAATTCAAAGTGGAGAGTACCCTGAAACAGGAGCAGTGCTTTGGAGATACGTGCACACAGGGCTTCAGTACTCCCATGTTTAACTACTCCACTCCAGTTATGAATATCCCACCCACCAGTCTTTTAAAACCGACCATTTTTCCAAATATTGAACTCCAGTCGAGTTGCGACACGACCTACTCGACTTCCACAATAGACTCTGTACTGTATTCATCATTATTGCCGGAGTCTTTCAGTCAAACTTACACACGGGCTCAGAAACCTAACCGTGCAAGAAAGAGCCCTGCTTCCTCTACCGGACCGGCCAAAGAGAAACCCTTCACGTGTCCAATGGAGACCTGCGACCGGCGCTTCTCTCGGTCGGATGAGCTCAACAGGCACATCCGCATCCACACGGGACACAAACCTTTCCAGTGCCGCATCTGTTTGCGGAGCTTCAGCAGAAGCGACCATCTGACCACGCACACCCGCACTCATACCGGTGAGAAGCCCTTTTCTTGCGATGTGTGCGGCAAACGCTTTGCCAGGAGCGACGAAAGGAAACGGCACGGTCGGGTGCATCTCAAACAGAAAGAAAAGATGGAGTTGAAGCCACAAGTAGTCAACGCGTGGCCATTCACTTTGCCAGAGGCCATTTAAGCGAAAATTGTGAAAGTCGTAATGAGCGCTCGTTGTGCGTGATGTCAAATCTTACCGTCTTGGAAGATTTAAGCTTACTAAAACAGTAGCTTAGGCTACAGAATACAACTCCAAAGCTCAAGTGAACGTCGTGGCAACTGATTTAAGCGACCCGCATGAGCGTAAAGGTCCACTGAGGTGACGGATCCCTTTTTGTGAAATAGGGAATATAATTTTAAACCTGGACCTCCCACATTGAACCTTGCGTGCAGCTTGGGGTGTGTGCAGCAAGTGAATAAACTTAAATCGAGTGTTTTTTTAAATTTACAGTTTGTCCTCGACCATTATATTTCTTAATCGAGGAGCGTGTTTTGCAGAACACATGAACTGCAGTTCAGCACTTTCACTATGGAACAGCTCCAACCTCGACCTTGCATTGTAATGCGGCAGTAAAACGCACAGCTGGAATGTATTGCACTTATCTCCACTTTCGAACTTAAAATGGTTTTAATTCGTGCTTTTTGGTCTTTTCTATTCTAACGCTGTCACCTGTTTAAGAATGAAGAATTCTTTAAAAATGCATGTACAGTATATGTTTACGTGATATTAATAATCACTGATAGATGCTTCACAGCACAAGTCAGATTTACCTCGTTTTACAACATGGTGGCATTATTGATTCATTTGTGCCAAGGTTTTTACAACGTATTTTCCCCTTTATATCTGTTTCATTTTGTTGCTATGCTCTATCGATTAGTAATTGTGTTGTACAATTATACAATCCAGTTCTACTGTTGTCAAATTTACACAGCGAGTGGGAAGAAATAAATACATTTATATGCCAATGATCATTTGTATTTTTCTAACAAGTGCTACTTTTTACATTTTATTTTGAACTGAAAGGCTATTTATATCTTTATTTTCAATGTGTCCCTTGTGTTATGGAAAACACGGGCCACGCATAAGATGTCTTGAATTTCTTCAGTCCATAATTTGAATGTATTAAGCCATTTTTAATACCATTGTCTGCCCTAGGTATCTGCTATTCGATAACAGGTACTCTTTCTTTTTTTACCAGATCATAATTGTGTGTTAGTGTGTGACCATGTGACCCTAATTCATTAATTATGAATTATCCAGTTCACATGGCTCCTTTATTTTGTGATGTGATGAGAAAAAAGTAGAATAGCACAGGGTTCGACACTGCTGTTAAGTGATTAGAAAGCATACGTTGCTGCAGTTTTCAATAGTTCTTTCACATGATACTAGAACAGTTTCAACATGCCTTTCAGTCTAAAAGCTTTTGCATTGTATTAGCTGAATTATTCAGTAGAGGTAATGGGGAAAATGTAGAAAATGTGAACTTGCCTTAAGTTATCATAATTATACTGGAGAAATTATTTTGTACATATCAAGACCATTTATACAAAATACTTTGGATGAACATTGATGTTTGTTATTTTTATGACAAATATTTATGAATAAAACCATTTCTTGAGGTGTTTAAGGAGAAAGGTTTTTTTACTGAGAATGGTCATTTAAATGATACGACAAGCAACATTTGCTATAAATGTTATTTTGTATATACTCCTCCCATCCCTCCTGCCCTTCTCATGCAGAAATCTACACTGGCTCTGAGATCTTGCAATCTGTCGCCAAGTGCTAAGCAGCAGCAATAGGGACTCCTCAGCATGTAGGCTGCCCTGTATGCATGACATGTCCCGCTGGCAGTACATCACTGACTCCCACTCCAGTGCGTAAGAGCCTGTGCTGTCTTTCTGACACGCTAGCTACTGTCAGTGATCAGCGTGTGATGGACCGCGCAGTGTTACATTTCAGCATAATGTATTAGATCAAACTGTGGCATAGATCTCCTCTGATGCCATCACTGACCTCTTTGGAACAGGGTGTGTCATGGATGATAAGTGTATAATTAACGCTTTTGTACTGTAGTGGCTTATAGTTATAGTGCAGCACTTTATCCATGAATGATATTCACGTTTTCAATAGAGAGGAGAAGAGATGGAAGAAAACACTCTTATTGGCATTGATGGTTCAATGAAGAATCTTAAAAATGCATGGAACCTTTCCATTCCAGAAAAGGTTCTTTAGACTATTAAAATATTCTTCTCACTAAAAAAGGCGTTATTTCAAGAACTGTGCACTAAAAGGGTCTTAAATGGCACAAAATGATTCTTCTATGGCATCGATGTGAATATCCCTTTTTGAACCCTTTAAAAATAAAGGTTCTTCATTGGCATTGATGGCTCCATGAAGAACCTTAAATGTTTCTCACACTGAGAAAAAAAAATGTTTTTTTTAAGAATTGTTCACTGAAAGGTTCTTTGAGGAACCCAAAATGGTTATTTTATGGCATCACTGTGCTAACCCCTTTTGGAACATTCATTTTAAGAGTGTGTATTTAAACCAGAAACCACACATGCCATATTTTCTAAATATAACCAAGTCTCACTAAGTGTCAGTTTTCCACAACTGAGAATAGGAGTTAGGCTAAAATTAGCTCAACTCATTCTACTCCCCTCACTAAGTAAAACAATGTTATAAATAAAATAAAACAACTCTAAAACTTTGGTGAAAGTTTTCTTTTGGGTTGATGTGGCTCCATGTTTCTAAAAAAGCAACAGCCTACGTTAGGCAGCCATATGTCTCATACAGATATCAACAACCACATAACTGGTCTGTCAGAATCATTCAGAATCATCATTGTAATAGAGTGCTGCAGGTATGACGTTTTTTTTGTAGGCCAAAGCCCAGAAACAAGTTAGCATTTAAGCACTTTTGTTCCATCGTTCCAAAGTAATTAGGCTTTTTGAATTGATTTTTTGTTCTATGCATGATAAAGTCAAGATATTTTCGCATTTTATTCTACAACTTAAAATACATGATTAATACAAGCTTTCGCTTGTCTTGAAAAAGGTGATTACTAACATGTGGCTAAATGGACTTAGAGGTTGTTGGTCACATTAATCATCATCACACTGAGCAGGAAACTCAAATACTCTCTAGTCCACTTTCACAGCCTCATTGTGTTTTACGCTCTTGCAAAATTCAGGGAAATTTTTTATTTTAATTTTTTAAAATTAAGACAATGAGTTAGTGATGGTGACATTAAAGTTATGTGACTGTGCTGTAGTTCATTTATAGCCCTTGCTTAGCCTTCTACTTCTGGGAATTTTATTAGGCCTCAAAATTCATAAAAGTTGTGTTTATTTGTTGTGCTATCTTCCAGGTTGGACTACAAAACCATATCATTACTGCAACTCATTATTGCACATTAGTGCATAGACACAGGCTTGAGCCTTTAACCTGACAATACATAGCCTACCTACATTGGAGAAAGTTAGTGGCAGAATTAGTTATTATTTCTTAAAGTGATGTGATACAGTGATGTATTTTTTCTTTCAATCAGTGAACAGTCAACTTTAGTAAAAGTAGTTTGTGGTTTATTTTTTGGCGTGTTAAGTGATCTCTTGTTGTTAAATTCGGTTCAGGAAAAACCATTTAAAAGGCAATTCTAGCTTTTATATAGACAGATTCATTGTCTGTTTCAAGTCGCCAGTTCACAGTCAGTGAAATTTCTCCATGTCCGTCAAATTAAGTGTTTGTTTTATGACGCGTAAAGGCCCGACTTTTAAAAGCCGGAGGTCTCGTTAAGTGTTACTAGCTATATGGGTCTCAAGTACACCTTATTAATCATAGTTGCACTTCAGACTAAGCTAAAAGACGATGCGGCCGGTAGATTGATCCGTCCCAGTGCAATCATTGCGTGATTTTATATCCACCTTGACGATGTGTAGCCGGCGTAGCGTGGTCCTCGGGTGGGCTTCGTAATCAGGGTGCATAATCATAAACTACTGATGGCAATCAGCCTTAGCGGATTAATTCGTCGGATGGCTTCCCGGCCCGACGGTCCTGTCTCTGATCCTGAAGAAGGGTGTGGGTGTTTTGGAGAGTGCAAATGATTAAGATGGAGAAGTGGCGAGGTAAAAGAGCTCGTTATGCAAACATTTAAGTGTTTGATTCTCACCATTGTTCCGAAAGCGAATTTCTTCATTAGTATTACTGGTCAGGGTAGACACTAGTGGATGGATTCGAGAACTTGCCGAGGTGTTTTTATTCCGCAATAAATGGCAAGTTAATCCAAGGGGTCAAGGAGGCTGAAACATCACTATGGCAACAAGGGTTAAGTGTCACGGTGTGCCAAAACGGAATGGAGAGGTGAACATTTTGAGTGAGATGAATTGCCTGAAAGCAATTCAATCACATGATGGAACAGTTCAGAGCTGTCCTTGATGGTGCGGTGGAGGCAAAGAGTCTTTAGACCCCAGAACAGTTCATTTAAAACTGTTAGGAGTTAATGCAATGCAGTCGGTATAATAATAAAGCAGGAGAATGATGATTACAAACAAATAATGCATGTCTTTTTGTGGGTTACACTATCTGCTGGAATTGAAATATTGTTTTGTGTTAGTTTTGACTAGGTGTGTAGCGCACCAATGAACGGAATATTACGTTAAATGTTAGGCCTAATGTTCTGTAAGTATATCTTTTTTTTACTTTACATTATAAATGTATAATAGTATAAAGAATCCATCTTTTATATAATTGGAATGTGTGTAAAAGTACAAGAAAGTACAAAAATACCTGTGCGCATGTTTATTTACGTTTGGCGCCAGTTGGAGGAGAAGACTGGATACTTGTACCTGAGAAAAATACACAGAAATACATAATAATACGTTTTTCTGGCATATTATTTTGATATGTCATTAAGGTAAAAACGCTAATTGCCTTTGGTTACATGCTCGCGGTTGCTTTCTCTGCGCTTGTGACTTTTCATCTGAGCGCGGCAACAGATGCTCTGCACATGGACAAGTTTTGCTCGTTTCACAATTTGAGTTGAATTACTGAAATAAATGAACTTTTCCACGACATTCTAATTTATTGAGATGCACCTGTTTGTGTAACCTGCGTGTAAAATGATATTGCAGTCGGATTGCAAAGATTAGAGTAAATATAAGTAAGTACTTTTGAAATTTGCAATCGGATTTAGTTCATTCTGTTTGACAAAAACAAGGAAATTATTCACCTATTAAATTTAAGGTAGTGCTTTATTGCTTTTTGTAACTAGAAGGCAGTGATGTAATACTCGAGTCAGTCTCAAGTCCAAGTCTAAGACCATATTTTCAGGAACATTTGGACTTGACTTGAGCATTACAACACTGCTAGAACTGTCTAATAGTTATTAAAACAAATAATGCAATGTATAGGATTTAAAGCCTTAAGCCTTACCTGGGCAATGCATCTGATATGGGGTTAAATGGCAGGATACGGTGTTTAAGAGTAGACCGGTAATGAGTGTGACTGCCATTGTTACATTAGGGATCAGCTGGGAAAGTATTGTATTTATTATAAGTATGTATTTCCATATTAATTCAAAATGTAATTTAATAAAAAA